CCCACCTAGTCACATGACACCCCCTGCCACACCTACCCAGGTTTTGTGGCTCCCGGTGTTTTCTGTGAGAAAGGGGTCTCTCTCTTTCCTTCTGTCCCTCTCTTTCTCTCTCTCTGTCTTTTTTTTCTCTCTCTCCCTCTCTCTCTCTCACCCTCCCTCCCTCTTATTTCTGTTTTGTGTGTTTTACCTTCTCAGCCCAGGCGAGGAGTGACTGAGAGGGGAGGGCGAGGGGCGGGGCCAGCCAGTGGTGGGATCACCCAACAGGGAGCCACAGCAGAGGGCCCAAAGAGCCTCATGCGGCTCCAGAGCCACCGGTTGCTGACACCTGTCCTAAGCCATTCCAGACAAACAGCTGCCCGGTCTCTTCTTGAAGATCTCCCGTGATGGAGCTCCCACAATTTCTGGAGGGAAGAAGCCCGCTTGGAGGGCAGATGAGTAGAAGGTCCGGTTTGCAGCCTGGCCTCCTCCACTCTGTCCTAGGAAGACCCCTGTCATGTGAACTCAGTTCTCAACAGGCGCCACGAGTGGAGGGGATCGCTTGCCCATCCATGCAAACTTAAGTCTCTTTCTGAACCAAGGAGGGAGGGTCTCAGGGTGAGGGCTTCCTGGGAACCAGAGCAGGGTGGTGTGGAGGGAGTTGGAATGTCTGCAGCCCTTCCCGATGGGAATTGCCGGAGCCAAAATTAGCATATTTGGGAGGCCCCGGTAGGGAAGGTGGATGACGTTGGCCATTGGACAGGTGCGCGAAGCTTGGAGGGGGATGCTGGACGGTGACGCAGGGCCTGTGGGAAGCAGCCCCCTCCCCTGCCAGGAAGAGCCCTGCCTTACTCGGAGGAGCCCCTGTGTTGCACCACGCAGGGGGCCGCTGGAGCTGCCTGATGAGCAACTCCGACCGGGCGGCTGGTGGCATCTCAGCTCCTCCGGTGGGCGTGGTCTGTCCTAGCCTTTATCCTCTGGGTGGGTTACCCCTCCCCCCCTCCTTTCCGTCTAATTGCTTTTGTAATCTGAATTTCCTTCAGGGTTTCTGTCCGCTGCAGGGGAGCCAGGCCTTCGTGATGGGTTATCTTTGGCAAGCAGGGCTCAAGCGCTGTGGTTTCTTTGGTTGGGTTTCTATCACGATGCCGGGTTCGTGAATAAAACCGCCCTGTCTGCAGAAGGGGAGAGAAGAGCAGTTCCGAGAGAGGGCGCCCCCAACACTGCCCTGCCTAAAAAAACACGAGTGCTGGACAAGGGGTGGGCTGCTGCGGGTTCGGGAGAGCCGCTAGCTAAGATATCGGTGCAGTTCGGACAACGCCCAGGTCCTCCACTCCTGGCTGGCCCCGCCCACCCTGCCCCTCCTCTCCCAGGAGTCCCACTTTGCCCATTTTGGACGCAGGGAAGTGCAGGGGGTGCACGGAGGCTCCGGGAGGGTGAAAAACGGGCCTCCCGGAAGTTTGGGCAGGCTAGGAATGGGCCCGTTTCCTGGCTTCCAGAGAGCCTCCGGGGCCCAGGGAGGCCATTTTCGCCCTCCTGGAGGAAAGCCTCGGGAGCCCAGGGAGGGCAAAAACGCCCCCCCCCACCATGGTACAGGAGGCCAACTAGGCCACACCCACCATGACCAGGCCCACCCAGCAACTGGGCAGAGACTCCTTTGCTAATATTTGTGAAGCCCACCCTAGCGGCAGCTCTGAAGGGCACCTGGTGGCCTTCCTCAGAGAAGGGTCAGGTTTGGATGGGGCAGGGTCTTCTTCTTCTCCTCTTCCTCCTCCTCCTCCGCAGAAGCCGCCTTTCAGCTTCTCTCTGCAATTCAGCAAGCAGAGTTTTTTTTCGTCCTCGTGACTCCGGAGGCTGCTGCTTCGGCTGGCTGGGGGGATCCTGGGGATTGGAAGTCCACAAGCCTTGTCAGCTTGTCATGGTTGGGCACCCCTGGCTTAAGTCTTGTCCTCTCCGGTGAGCTGCTCTCTCGGTTAACTGGTTTCCTTTCAGAAGCTGGGTGAGCTGCCTGAGATCGTTTCCACCTCCCGAGATAAATGTTCAAAAGACAGAAGGAGAAAGAGACGGGGAGGGAGGGAAGAGGGAAAGAAGGGAGAGAAAGAAAAGAGAGAGGGAGGGAGAGACTGGAAGAGAAAAAACGAAGGGAGGGAGGGGAAGAGAAAGAGGAAGGAAGGAAGGAAGGGAAAGAAAGAAAGGAAAAGAAAGGAAAGGAAAGGAAGATAAAAGGGGAAAGAAAGGAAAGGAAAGGAAGATAAAAAGGGGAAAGAAAGGAAAGGAAAGGAAAGGAAAGAAGGAAAGGAAGATAAAAGGGGGAAAGAAAGGAAAGGAAAGGAAAGGAAAGGAAAGGAAAGGAAAGGAAAGGA